TACCAGCTGTTCTGCGGGAGAAAGATGAGGCTTTCTGCTCCCATAAAGATTTACAGCCTCGGAAACCCTGTACAGGGTCGCTATGGGTCGGAACAGACTCGACGGCACTTAACAACAACAACAACAATATATACTTCATTGTTTTTGCTTCTCTAGAAAAGCTGGTCTAAGACACCTATATCAAAAGATCATCTTTTAAAAATATATATATTTTATTGTGAATTATGTGATTGTTTACATGGGAGAACATTAGCTTTACATTCATCCTATTGTATATCATTTCATTGCCATGGCTACGATCCCCTCCATGCATTATCAACCAACCAAAGGGTATACCGTGCAAGCCTGCCCCTGGTCATCAGCACACAGCCCCTCTCCCTCTCTGACTCTAAAGTCCCCAGCGGCTCCATCTCTCCACATCATCGTCTCTGCCTCCATCTCAGGCATCACTGCTTCTCTGGGTAGGGTGCCGCTCTCCGCTCTTCTCCCTTCATCATCCCAGGGACCTCCCCTCCTTTTGCTACAAAACATCTACATTTCCAACCCCACAGTCAGTCCTGATAACAATTATTCACTATTGTATCACAAGAGACCTATCCCCATCTCTTTCATCAGGCCTGCCTAGACAGATTGGATACTACTCAGTGGAGATTCTACCTTCCTCCATGCCCTCTGGATCTAGGCTCCTTCTTGAAAGCTTGTAAGCCAGTCACTTCTTGCCTTTGTAGCGCCCCCGCCCCCATTTTGGGTAGCCACTGTCCAAGTTGCCCATCCCTGTCTACTCTGTATATGGAGGGGGTGGGAATGATCCTCGCTGTAAAGATTTGGTCCCTCTTTTGAGCTACTGCATCCATAGGTTTAGGTCAAGTTCATCAAATTGTATCAGATTATGCTTTTTTTTTCCTTTTCTTTCTTCTTCTGGTTGAAATCTGATCATCCAGTCATTGGAGCCAGGTGAAGTGGGTATTATCTTATATTGATAAGCTTTTGAGTTATACTGGTGTGTACATTTGTCAAAACTCAACATATGTGCAGTTTTATGTATTTCACTGAAAGTAAATTTTACCTTTAAAGTATCATTAAAAAATATTAAACGTTCTTTAATGATAAGCATGCCACCTGATACTGTATATTAATGCATGCAACTTATTTTGTGACTCTCAAGTATACAAATCTTGCAAATATTTTTTATTTTTATACCTAAGAAGCTATGTTTTTTTATGCTACTGAAAATTATATTGTTTACTTAGTGTTAAGTTAAAATCATTTTTGCTATTCTATAGAAATAAATTGATTTTTTGTGTATTGGTCTTGTATGCTGTGACCTTGCCAAAAGCAATTTAGTAACTTTTTAATAGATTAAAAATTTTTTTTCTACATAAAAAATCATATCATTTATAAGTAGAAAGAATTTTACTGCTTCCTTTTTACTATGTATGCATTTATTTCAGGGAAATGAGGACTGTTTGGCACTGTATAAAACCTACATTATAATGTTCAAGAGAAGTGGTGAGAGTTCCTAATCTTTCACTAGTCAGTTTTGTCTCTTATTGTTTTAAGTGCTGTTGAGGCCGTTCTAACTCGGATCAATCCTGTATAGGGTTTCTGAGGAGTGGCTGGTGGGTTGGAGCTGCCAACCTAGTGGTTAACTCTCCAGTACTTATCCTACAGCGCCACTCTGCTGATATGCTGATTACATTGCTTGATTCTTAAATTAAGGACCAGACTAGCTTTCCCAATCACGATGTATTAGCCTCTTTATATATTGTTAGGTTTGATTTCCTAATTGTTTTTTAGTATTTTCACATGTTTATTGATCTGGAATTTTTGATCTGTAGTTTTCTAGTAATATCTTTGGTTTTGATATCAAGATAATGTTGACCTTATAGAATTAATTAGAAAGCATTCTCCTCTGTTTTTCAGAAGAGTCTGTACAGAATTAGTATTATTTCTTCCTTAAATGTTTGGTATAATTTATTGAAGTCATTTAGGCCTGGAGTTTTCTTTGTGGGAAAGTTTAAAATCACAAATTCAACTTCTTTAATAGATATGAAAGAGCTTCAAAAAGTTTACATAAAATGGAATCGAATGATAAGGAAACTTTTCCATGAACTTTTGAAAGCTACCTTGTATTTCCTATTTCCTTTTGAGTGAGCTTTGGTATTTTGTATCTTTCAAGGAATTTGTCCATTTCATTTGTTTTCTTATTATGGAGATAAAGTTGTTTGCAGCTTGCTCTGAAATACATTTTAAAAATTAAATTAAGTGAATGGATAGAGCAATGAATAAAGAAACATGTGATAAAGCAATTATGAGGGTAAATCAAAAAGTGTTGTTAGTAGGGTTCCAGGTCATATGTGTATGACTTTTTAATTTGGTTTTATGATTAGTGGATGGCTACAGAAAGCTCTCTCAATAATACACTTGTTTTAGTCTCTTCAGGAAGCCTTCAAAAAAAGGTTCATTCAAAACAGTGGCTTCTGAAAGGATCTACTGGGTCAATCAAATTCAAGGCAGAGAGGTTAGCTCAGAAGGCTATGGTGACTGTTATAGAGGATCCCAAAGGGATAATCTTGGTAGATTTTCTTAAAGGACAAAGTACAGTCATATGGGCTTATTAGGAAGAAGTTTTAAGGAAATTGAAAATTGCATTGGTGACTAAAAGGCCAGAAAAGTTGCACCAAGGAATTTTTTTTTTTTCCCCATCATGACAATGCATCTATCTGCTCCTTCTTTGAGGGTAGGAAGGGCTGTCCTACAAGAATTTCAGTGGGAAACCCTACGCCATCCACCCTACATCCCAGATCATACCTCTTCTGACATCTTTTTGTTCTTAAAACCCAAAGAACATTTAAAAGGGATATAATTTTAGTCCCTCAAGTATGCCAAAACTTCCATTTAGATGTGGTGTAAATCAAAGATTGCAGAATTCTTTGGGGAAGGATTAGAGAGATAGAAATACTGCCTTCAGAAGTGTATAAACATGGGTGGAAGAAAATGTTGTGAAATAATACCTTCACATTTTAATATTTTTATGATACATTTCTATGGGTTTGTGGCAAAACTTTTTGACTTACCTTTGTATAACAGAATGTTAATTGTGGAATCTACATGGACGTATTGTAAAATTCTTTCGTTGTTTCTCTATATTTGAAAATATTTATAATAAAATATTGGAGAAGGAAAAAGGAAATATAACACAATGATTTAAGGGCACTGATGCTAGAACAAGACTACTTTTTTGAAGGAGAAGAAGGAACTTTGGTTTAACTGGAGAAATGCCTGCTGAAAGACAGGCCTGCAAACAGACATAGAAAAAAGGATCTGAAGTTGATGGTGAAATGAGAGGTGATGACTACAGAGGCATTAGCTAACGACAAGCACTTCTGTCAGGGAAGAAGGTGCAATGTGCAAGTTTCAGCAATTGGGAGCAACATTGTAGGTATGCCTGTGCCTATAACATCCCTATCCTTTTGTAGTTCGAGTAAGAGACACATCACGTTCCTAATGTCTGTTAGACTGGCTAAGCAAGTCTGTCTACATGCTAGGATTTCAGATATGTTGATGGCTATCTACATACCTCTTTCAACTCTGCCACCTGAGTTTCCCACCTGCAAACATTGGACCACCAGGCAGCATGTGTTAGGATAACCTTGTTCAGATGATTAAAGCAGTTGCAATGGTGACTATCTAAGGTAGGCCCGAGATCCTGCTCCTTATGGCCTCTGGAGACGCTTGGGGCTGGAGCTAATTGGCTCCTGTTCAGTGCTGTTAGAAGAAATGAAATCACACATATACCCCTCGTCCATTGTGGCAGCTGATTTTGCATACATGATCAGATTATTTCAATGTAACAATTGTATGAGATAAGTTATAATTGTTGTTGTGAGGTGCCATCGAGTCGGTTCTGACTCATAGTGAACCTATTATGCACAACAGAATGAAACACTGTCCACTCCTGTGCCAACCTCACAATCATTGCTAACGCTTGAGCCAATTTCTAATGTCACCATGCCAATCCATCTTGTTGGGGTCTTCCTCTTTTTTGCTGACCGTCCACTTTACCCTCCACTTCCTGGATGTCTTTCTCCAGGAACTAGTCCCTCCTGATGATATGTTCAAATTATGAGAGACGAAGTCTGGCCATTCTGGCTTCTAAGGAGCATTCTGGTTATACTTATTTCAACACAGATTTGTTTGTTCTTCTGGTAGTCCATGATCCTTTTAATATTCTCTTCCAACACCATAACTCAAATGCATCAATTCTTCTGTGGTCTTCCTTATTCACTGTCCAGCTTTCACATGCATGTGAGGCTACTGAAAATACCGTGACTTGGGTCAGGTACACCTTAGTCCTTAAACTGATATCTTTGTTCTTGAACAATTTAAAGAGGTCCTCTTCAGCAGATTTGCCTAATGCAATACATCATTTGATTTCTTGACTGCTGCTTCCTTGGGTGTTGATGGTGGATCCAAGCAAAATGAAGTCTTTGACAACTTCAATCTTTTCTCCACTTACCATGATATTATTTATTGGTCCAGTGGTGAAGACTTTTTGTTTTTTTAAACTTTGAGACCCATAACGAAGGCTGTGGTCTTTGATCTCCATCAGTATATTAAGTCCTCTTTGCTTTCAGCAAGCCGGATGCCACATTTTTCTTCATATTATCCAGCTTCTTGGATTCTTTACTCAGCATACAGATTGAATAAGTATGGTAAAAGTATACAACCCTGATGCACACCTTTTCTGATTTTAAACCATTCAGTATCCCCTTGTTCTTTTCAAATAACTGCCTCATAGTCTATGTACAGGGTCCTCATGAATGTTCGGTATACTCATTCTCTGCAATGTTGTCCATAACTTGTCATGATCCACACAGTCTAAATCCTATGTGTAGTCAATGAAGCACAGCTAAACATCTTTCTGGCGTTCTCTGCTTTCAGCCAAGATCCATCTGATCCACATCAGATGGGAGTTATAATAGAATCTCCATTCTGAGGAAGCTAGGTTAAGAGAGGTCACAAATCTAGCAAGTGACAAGCCAGGATTTGAATGTAACAACTATATCTAACATTTGAGTGTCTAATATGCACCAGTTCTAGGTTCTTTATATTTATAATCTCATGTAATCCTCAAAACAATCAAGAAATAGATACTCTTATCATCACTATTGTGTAGCTGAGGGAATTGAGATGGAAAGAAATTGAGTCGCTTGCCTGAGGTCACAAAGCTAGTCAAGGGCCTGTCTGGAATTTGAATGCATGTAGTCTAGTTTCATGGAACCATGGTGGCACAGTCTCTAAGTACTTGGCAACCAGTCAAAAGGTTGGCAATTAGAATTCACTCAATTATCTGTGGATAAAAATGTGGCCGTCTGTTTCCATAGTGTTTTGGAATCCCTATGGGGTAATTCTGCTATGTCCTATAGGGTCACTGTGAGTCATAATTGACTCAGCGGCAATGGGTTTAGACTAGCTTCAGAGACCAAGCTCCTAATTATGCTTCACTACTCGTCATAAGCTCAGCTCCTCACCAATATGGCGGGATTCCTTCTAGAAACATAGCTTCCATCTAGGTAGCCGATTTCCTTCACAATCCCCGTCTGCAACAAGACATGGGGATCCTCTTTGGTTCAAGGGGCATAGGCAATTTTCAGTAACCTAAGTGGCTCAGGGGGTGAAAAAGGTGATACTGGGTTCTCAGAAGAAGGTTGGCAGTTGGTACAGGACTTTGTTTGCTTTGGCTACTGCTCTTTACTGAACACTTCCACAGGCCTAGACAGGGCATGGACAGGAAATCCTGACTCCTGATGTGTCTAAACAGTAATGGTGTCTTTGAGGGCAGGGAATTCTCACATGGTCATCAAGGCAGAGTCTGAAGCCCAAGTGGTTATAACTTCTCTGAAGTGGTAAGTAGAGGCACGACTGCTGGTCCTGTGGTGCTGTGGGCTAAGGCGCTGGACCACAAAGTCAGTCTGAACCACAAGGTAGATGGTTCAAAACTCACCAGCCATTCCTTGGAAACCCTGGACAGGGTTAGAACTGACTCAACGGTACTTAAGAACAATAACAATATACCAAGCACCATGCTAAGCATTCTCTGTGAACATCACCTTTTGTCCAGCAAAACTAGATTGTTGTTAGGTGCCATTGAGTCAGCTCTGACTCTATGTACAACAGAACTAAACACTGTCTGGTCCTGAGCCAGCCTCACAATTATTTGAGCTCATTGTTGCAGCTACTGTGTCAGTCCATCTTGTTGAGGGAGAGGGGGTCTTCCTCTTTTTTGCTGACTCTGCCAAGCACGGTGCCTTTTTCCAGAGATTGGTCCTTCTTGATTGCATGTCCAAAATAGGTACGCAAAAATCTCACCATCCTCACTTATAAGGAGTATTCTGGCTGTAATTCTTCCAAGACAGATTTTTTTTGTTGTTCTTCTGACAGTCCATGGTGCTTTCAATATGCTTTAGCAATACCATAATTCAGAGATATCAAATCTTCTTTATTTATTGTCCAGCTTTCACTCACATATGAGGCAAATAAAAGTTCCATGGCTTGGGTTAGGCATATCTTAGTCCTCAAAGTGACATCTTAGCTCTTTAACATTTTAAAGAGGTCTTTTGCAGCAGATATGCCCAATGCAAAATTTCTCTTCATTTGTTGTCTGCTGCTTCCATGAGTGTTGATTGTGGATCCAAGTAAAATGAGCATTCTCTTTATTTGCCAGTAGGAGACAGTAGGTTCAGGGAGTTGAGATACTCCCCTCAAATAACCTAGCTAATAAATAAATTAGTGTGACACCGAAGTTTTCACTTGCCACTGAACCTTTTTTGACCCATGGTACATATATCACCTGTCAACATTTTCACCCTCACAGCTTTCTTGGGAAGCTGCTATCCCAGTGTAGTACATGCCACTGCTTGGCAGGGATAACAGTTTGAATCTGAAGAAGTGGTCCTCACCCCACAAATCGTACCACCAAAGTCTGCTTGGTACATGTGTGTTCCACAAAATCCATATTACCTCAAAAGTAATTTTCCTTGATTTCACCATGCATTCCATTAGAGAAAACACATGGTATCAACAAAAAATAATTAAGGCAAAAAAAAACATTTGATCATAATAGGGTTAACCAGGTATCTTAGGGAGGCTTACCAGGCAAAATTAATAAAAGTTTGAATGGGACCAGTAACAATGGAGAAATTGGACATTTTAATGGTCAATGAGGTTTAAGAAAATGTGTACATTACTATTGGGCTAAGGGAGAATCTCACAGGTAAATTGTCATTAGTTTTGGAACTACAATAGACACGCAGGGACATTTTCCAAATGGTACCTATCGTTTAGGCTAGAGGGAAAAGAATTGCTTGGGCAAATCCCTGAAGGAACAGAATGCCTATATATACTATAATGTAGGGAATGTGGCACTCAGCCTTCTGCGAGTGGATCTTGGTGGAGGAGGAGGAGGAAGAACCACCATAATACCGGTGGCATGCTCCCCAGCTGCTTTATCTTGTGAGAATGTTGCGTCCGTGGTTGCTTCAAGCCACAAAGCCACTCAAAGGCCAGAGCTTCCAAGAAGATTATTTCTATGTTAGAAGAGGCAAAATGATTATCAGGTTCACTCTGCAGAACAAACGAAAGCCGCCAAAGCAAACAGCAAACATGCTATACTGGTTTTTGACATGAGTTAGGAGGGGAGTAGAGAAGGAGGGAAAATACCGTCTCTAGACCACACTGTCCAAGTACTTGAGTGCACTCTTAGTCTCTGCATGCCCTAACACCCCAGCCGGCCTCCTGGCAGAAAGACAGTCCTACAGGTATGCATTTATATAGTCTGTCTGGAAGATTAGACGGAACCAGCTGGGGGGCCCTGGTCAGGAATAGGTTCCTGAGCTCTTCACATGTTTCAGGCTATCTAGATACCTGGCTTCTCAGAGCTCCCAAACTTATCAGAATTTTACTTTGCAGGAATTTCCTGGGGACAAATGGAAACCAATAACAGGAAACAGGAAGACCAGCCAGTCAGGGAGGTAAGTGACCTTTCAGGGAGTTTGGGTAAGTTAATGCCTGTGGGGTTTCTGCAGGAATTAGTAAGACTTTCTGTTTGCTTAGTTTCCTTTGAGGAAACTGGTTTGGTATCCATACCAATGGCTTGATGTCATAGATGTAATCTAGCATACCCCACCCCACTCCCACCCCCCGCCATACAGCTGGACTACAGACCAAACGGACTGTATTTTGGAATACAAAGTGGTCAGGCAATACTGTGAGGCTTTGTGCCCATCAGCTCAGTGGTATGAGGTAGTCCTCCACAGGCACTAGGATATGTGGAACCAGACTGTACTGCAACAGAAAGAAAAAAGCAGTAACTGTCTCCCTTCCAAGGGACCATTTGATACCTAGAGAGGAAAGAAAGGAGATAGTACTGCTCAGCCACTCTTGGGCATTTGTCCCAGATTTGTTGGGAACACCTATTTCTTGAGTGCTGCCACCTTTTATTATTAAAGGAGTAGTTGAGAGTTTAAGGTATGTTCAGTAAAATCCCAGGGACAGATTATGCTAATGATAACTTAAAATTCATGGACAGGCCCTATAAGTGACTATAAGGGATGGACCTTTTTCTGGGTTACTCTCTTCCAACCTCCTTTGACATTCAGTGTAATTATCGATAGGTATGAATTGATTGCTGTCATTTTGCTGTGTGTGTTTTGTGTTGCTGTCGGTTTCTTTGTTCCACATAATTTTCTGTGCTGAGTTCATTTGGTTTGTCTGTTTTCTTGTCAATTTCTTCTTTGCTATTGTTTGAATGTCTACTAAAGGAGTCCTGGTGTGGCACTGTAGGATAAGCACTTGACTGCAAGTTCGGTTTGACAGTTTCAAACTCTCTAGTCACTTCTTGGAAATGCTATGCAGGGCTTCTATGGGTCGGAATCAACTCGGTAGTCCCTTAATAAAAAAAAAAAATTCATCGTTTTTCCTTTGCTTGATTTGATGTGAAGGTGTATTAATTTTGAGGCTACCCTGTAATTTATTAGTTTAAAACAGTCTGTTTTTTTTCTTGAAATCTACTAAAGAGTGAACAGAAAGAGTGGAAAATAAAAAAATAAAAAAGAGAAAACTAAAAGGGAGTAAATAAAAAGGAAGAAAAACAATTAAAGACAATTAGGGAGAGGAATGAGTAAAAGGAAAAGAGACCAGAGCATAGTGAAGAAAAACAGAACAAAAAAGAAAGAAAGAAAAGCAGCATTTGGGAAAGAGAAGAAAAAAAAAATGAAAGCAGAGATAGAAAGGATAGACAGTAAGGGCGAGGAAGAAGTGGAAGAAGCAAATAAACAAACTAAAACAAGTAAAGGAGAAAATCAGGACAGGTGCCAGATCCAGAAATGAGAAACCAAATCCTTGCCAGCCAAGGACCTCACTTTGTGGGTAGACAAGGGTTGAGAAGGTAACACTCTTAATCCTAGATGGACATCCTGGATTGCTAGGTTTTGCTTGTTCTTTATAATCAATTCTGAATTAGTTTGTGCAGACCCCAAAGCAGCTGGAGGATCAGAGCATTCCCATCCCAGAGGGTAGCTGAGGGTGAGAGGTCCTGCTAGTCTAGAGCTGACCAGAATCAGTTTTGCATGTCTGGAGCACACCACACCTGATTCTAGGTGCCTGGGGTGGTGCTGCTAGTTCCCCACACTTCCTTTGATGCTGCTGTGACTGCCAGAGAGCAGGAATTTATTCTGGAGTGTATGTAGGTGGGGGCTGGCCACACTTCTGGTCACCAGGGTAATGTGGGGTGCAAGAAAAAAGATCACACCTTTCTTTCCACTAGTAAGTATTATGCCTCTGCACCACTTATCACCCTTCTTGCCTTTAAAATCATCTGCAAAACTTCAAGATGGCCACACCATGCCTGGTGGGTCAGCATAGATCACGAGTCTCCTTTCTTCCTTCCCCCCACCCATCCCTCATATCTCTTCAGCTGCTTTTCCTACTGAGGGCCAGTCAAGGTCTACTCTGGGATAGCTGTGCACATTTGGGGCGGAGCCTGCCTGAATGGAGTTATTGTAAATAACTCCCCCCTTTAATGGGTTCACAATTATGGCACTCCAGCTTTCTTGAGAGCCGGGAGCTTCCTTGGGGGTTTAAGCATGTGAGGTTCAGCCTTACTTCTCGCTACCAGGGGAGTGAGGGAACAAGAAAAATAATCACACCTTTATCTCTGGGAACCACTGGTATGTTTCTGCAATGACAATATGTTTTCTTGTCTCTGAAGCTGCTCACAAAAGCTTAAGATGGCCGTGCCTCATCTGGTCAGCAGGCATAGCTCACCAGTCTGTCTTCTTTTTTGTCACATCTGTTCAGTTTTCTCTCCTAGTAAGTATTCAATCTACTTCTCTGTCTCTTCATCTGAAGGTCAGGGTTCCAGGACTATCATCTGCTTCTGTTTCATTTGGTTTTCTGAATCCTGTTTTACAGGGTCCTTACAGCCTTTTTGTCTAGTCTGCAATCTTGCCGCTTCTTTTCTTCCATTAGTTCTTTGGAATAATTACTTCCTTTCATCAGATTTTTATCATTCTTCCTTGCTCCTGAGGGAAAGAAACCAAAAGTTGCACTTAGGCGGCGGCTCACAAAGCTCCAGTTGCTATTCACCATATGTTGTTGTTGTTAGGTGCCATCGAGTCGGTACCGACCCATAGCGACTTTATGCACAGCAGAACGAAACACTGCCCGATCCTGGGCCAACCTCAC